ATCAGGAAGGGGGGGGGGCAGTTAGGGGCGACCAGACAGACAGGCAGGTGAGCGATTAGGAGCCAGAAGTCCAGGGTTGTGAAAAGGATGTCCGACTGCCGGATGTTTGACTGCCGGTTTAAGCCCCATCAGACATCCTCTGAGGGGTCCTGGATTGGAGAGGGTGCAGGCTGGGCTGAGGCCCCCCTCCCCATGCACGAATTTCATGCACTGGGCCTCTAGTATTAAAATACTTAAGGACATTGAGTTCTTGAAAAAGTGAAATGCAAATGACTAGGAGAAATTTTATATAATAAAAGTCTAACATGCAAATCGACTGAACGGCAGAACAACCAGGGGTGGGGCCGGCGAGCAGGCGGTGCCAGGCCAGCCAAGGTGGATGCCAGTGGGCAGAGAAAGGGAATGGCAATGGGGCGGGGGGTGGTGACCAGTGGCAGCAGTGGCGTGATGGGGGGGGAGAGCTGCCCCCTGGTGGTCAATGAGCTCCCACAAGGGGAGTGCTGCTCAGCCACAAGCCAGGCTGAAGGCTGGCAAGCACAGCAGTGGTGGCGGGAGAGCTAAGGATGTCCACAGCAGTGGTAAGCCACAGTTGGACATCCCCTGAGGGCTCCCGGACTGCAAGAGGGTGCAGGCCAGGCTGAGGCAACTTCCCCCCCACCCCAGTGCACCAATTTTCATGCACCAAGCCTCTAGTATTTTATAACTTGGTCAATTATAATTAATTATACCCACCATTGAAATACCTTCTTCCTTTGGCTTACAAACACTGTTTTCTCAATATCCCATCTACAGCTTATTGATTCTTTTATCTCAGTCTCATTGGTTCTCTCTTATCTCCTCAACTACCAAACATTGAAATTATCTACAGCCCAATCTTTGAATTTAGTTCCTTTCCAAACTCATTTCCATGGTAATTTCCATTCTCATGATTTTATGTAAGATCTATATGCTGATTACTTTCAAATGTATGCATATTTTAGCTTAAACTTCTTCCTCAATTCCAAACTCTTATACCCAATTGCCTTCATTACATTTCCACTTGAATATCTGCTAGGAGTTTCCAGTTTAATATGTTCATAATGAACTCCTAATTTTCCCTTCAAATCTGCTCATCCTGAAGTCTTCCCCATCTTCCTTTTGAATTATTATTGATTCCTCTATTTTTCTTATACCCAACATCCAATCACACAAATTCTGCCAGCTCTGTCTTCAAGATATATCCAGATCTCATCACTTCTCACCATCCCCATTGCTATCACTCAGCTACCCCTTTGGTTTGTTTGTTGTAATAACCTTCTAACTATTCTTTCTCTTTCCACCTTTAACCCCCTATAGGCTAGTCTTCTTACAGAAACCAGAGTGAAACTGTTAAACCATACACTCTGTATGTTTATAAATTTTCAACTGCTTTCTGTATCATTCATAGTAAAAAACAAAGGACCTAAAAACATCCTCATCCTCCATCCCCTGTTCTTTCTGATGCCATCATCTAATACTTTCCCCCCTCATGAACTCCACTCCAGCCACTTGCTGTTCATAGAAAAATACAGACACATCTCTCCTTTAATATTGTTACACTTGACTTTTTTTCTATGTGGAACACTTCCTCCCACCCCAGTAACATAGGGCTTACTCTCTTTCTTCTTTAAGTCTCTTCTAAGCTGTTACCATTGAGTGTTTTCTGAACACCCTATTTTCCAAAAGCTCATAGCATGGATCACTATTAAAACTTCTATGTATCTTGCTATTTAGTAAACTTATTATTAGGCTTAATGTCTATTTCCCCTAACTAGAATACAAGATAAATGAGGTTAGGAATTTTAGTGTCTTTTGTCAGTGATGAATTGTCAGCTCCTAGAATAGTGCCTAGCACATAGTAGGCATTCATCAATATTATTTGAATGCAGGAATGTGCATATTTAAAAAACTGTGAATAAATTGATGAAAACATTAGTGGTTTTTTTATTCTGGATAATGGGATTGTAGGTGAATTCCTCATTCTATTATATATACTTTTCTGAGTTTTCCAAACATTGTATACTAAATATATATTGCTTTTTCAATCTTAAAAATAACTCCAAACTCTTAAAATGTAAAATAATTGAACAGTCATGTTTACTTCAACTGAGACATGAAAAACAGAAATGCTTTAACAATTAATGTATTTAAGAGACTCAGAGTTTTACCCAGAGACTGTCAATGGCTAGCAGTGAGATTTAGGGAAATCACCTAAAGTGCCGCATTATTCTTTCAGGTAAAATAAATTACTTGAAATTAAAAATCTGTATTATTCTCATATAATACTTTATTCTCTGACTACTAAGATAATTCCAATTTAAAAATAAATTTTTTATTTTATTCCCATTTCTTTAAATATTTTGATGTTTGGAATAGATATGACTCCATTATTACCTTTTTATTTACATAGTACCTTTGTAAGAAAAATCCACAGATATGGCACAAGTTGCATGCCTACATTCCAGGTGAATGGACCGGGGTTTAGCATAATTTGATAAAATGTAGAAGAGCTGTCAAAATAAAGTTGAAGCAAATCTCTGGTCATATGTCCAGCCAGCATGGCTTAGTGGTTAAGCGCCAACCTGTGAACCAGGAGGTCATGGTTTGATTCCTGGTCAAGGCACATGCCTAGATTTCTGGCTCAATCCCCAGTATAGGGTATGCAGGAGGCTGCCAATCAATGATTCTCTCACATCATAATGTTCCTATGTCTCTCTCTCCCTCTTTCTTACTCTATGAAATCAATAAAAAATATATTTTACAAAATTCTGTGGTCTTGTATTAGCTACTAAATAAAACATATTACCCACATTACTCTTTTCTTTCCTTCATTTTTATTTATTTTCTATTTTTTTCCATTGCAATTTATATGCAATATTATTTTGTATTAGTGTCAGGTGTACAGCACAGTGGTTAAACAACCATATCTTTATGGGTTCCACCTGATATTCCCAGTACCCACCTGGCACCATACATAGTTATTACAACATTATTAGCTATATTTCCTATGCCATACTTTACATCCCCATAACTATTTTGTAACTACTAATCTGTACTTCTCAATCCCATCACCTTTTTCATCCAGTCCTCCAAACTGCCTTCCCTCTGGCAACCATCAGCCTGTTCTCTGTATCTGTAACCAACATTACTCTTGGTTCTGAGCTCTAGAGAATAAACACTAACACCACAGTTTAAGTAGATAAGTAATTTCTTAGAGGAAGAGAATGAAAATTTCTGTAAAGCCCATGAATATATGACAGAAACAGTGGAGTGGGTAAGCGTACTGGCTCTGGACTCACACCAACTGTGAGACCTTGAGCAAATTCACATTTCTAAGCTTCAGTATCATCATTTATAAAATGAGGATAATAATAGTACTTATTCACAAGGGTTTTGGAAGAAATAAGTTAATTAAAATATTTACTAAAAAATTGCTTAGTATATTTTCTGGCATAAAGTAAGCATTTGATTAAGGTCAACGTTATTGCTGTTTCTTTTTTATGTAGTCCATGTTTTATTGAAAAGTTAGAAATAAATTTCAAGAACAGTTAGTTTTTTTAATATATCACATTGTGAGATTAAAATTAGGTGTTGGACATTTTGAGTATCTAATATTATCTAGCATTCAAACTGTACAATATTTTAAAATATTAAACTATTTTACAACTAGTATATTTTTCATATACTGCTCAATAACTAATGCAGACTGGTGCAGCCACTGTGGAAAACAGTATGGAGTTTCCTCAAAAAATTAAAAATGGAACTCCCATTTGACTTAGTAATCCCACTTCTAGGAATATATCCCAAGAAATCAGAAATACCAATCAAACGGATATATGCATCCCTATGTTCATAACACAATTCACAATAGCTAAGATTTGGAAACAGCCTAAGTGCCCATCAGTAGATGAGTGTATTAAAAAACTGTGGTACATCTACACGATGGAATACTATGCTGCTGTAAAAAAGAAGGAGTTCTTATCATTTGCAAAAGCATGGATGGACCTGGAGAGAATTATGCTAAGTAAAATAAGCCAGTCAGAGCAAGATAAATACCACATGATCTCACTCATTGTGGAATACAATGAACAATATAAACTGATGAACAAAAACAGATTCAGAGACAGAGAAGCATCGAACAGACCATCAAACCTCAGAGGGAAGGCTGGGGAGGTAGGGGGTTAAGAGATCAACCAAAGGACTTGTATGCATGCATATAAGTATAACCAATGGACACAGACAGTAGGGGATGAGGGCATGTTCTGGGAGTGGGAGTGGCCAGGGAGAGGTCAATGGGGGAAAAAGGAGACATATGTAATAAAAAACAAACAAAAGAAACCCTATTATCTATTTACATATATATACACACATATACATATATAGGTAAATGCTGATGCGATGTTGTATTTGTGTCCTTCTAGGGTTACTTATGTCCAAATGAATTTATTGCTACTCAAGGTCCATTACCAGGAACAGTTGGGGATTTTTGGAGAATGGTTTGGGAAACCAGAGCAAAAACATTGGTAATGCTAACACAGTGTTTTGAAAAAGGGCGGGTAAGTTTTTTTAAAATCTTTTCACAAAATATTATTTTACAATTGTGTTAATGTATGTGTGACAATTTCAGCTAATACTGCAAATCATCAATGACTTGGATATCTATAAGGCAATTTTAACTAAGTAGCAATAACTGTGATACATATCCATATAACAGTGGTTCTTCTGACTGGTGATTTTCTCTGAATACAGATCAGATGCCATCAGTATTGGCCAGAGGACAACAAACCAGTTACGGTGTTTGGAGATATAGTGATTACAAAGCTAATGGAGGATGTTCAAATAGATTGGACCATCAGGGATCTGAAAATTGAAAGGGTAAAAAATGGCGGGGGCAGGAACATGATAGCAAATATGAATGCTCTAAATTTGCAAAATGAATTCTTAGAACTATGCCTTGCAATGATACCTGTAGAGTCAACAATGCTTTCCCATTGTGTCTCAAACAGAAGTTTTGAATTGTCATCTAACTTCAATATCTATGTCACTGTGTCTGAATTCCAAATCACATGGTTAAAGTTTATATTAACCAGTTAGCATCAAATTCTTAGGTAGACAAGGGGGGGAAAGGAAGAAACAACTAGATTACGAGGTTTAATATTTTATTTAAACCAAAAATTTCCCAAATCACTCATCTCTATCTACATTCAGTACAGATGTGTGAGTGTGGGATCTCTCTTTATTAGTCTATAGAAGTGTCTGTATACACAGAGAATAATATAAGGATCTTTGTACTTTCTGACATTATCAGACACCCAATATCTATATTCTGAATAATTGATGAAAGTGTTTATGTAAGTTTGGGGTCAAAAATTGTTTCAACATCTACTTTTACAATGCTACAGAAAGTTATACTACATTTGAATATCAATATGTTATCATCTCTTTGCAGGCTTTCTTATTGTTTTTATTCATACTAAAGGCAATTTTTTTTTTTATGGGAGAAGCAGTAAAAGACCTTTCTTACAGGAAAAATAAAAACACAGTTTTTCTGTTTGGTAAACAGTCATTTTTAAAAGATCACTTTCAAAAGACATCAGCTCTCTCAGCCTTCATTATGTACTTAAATGATTGTGTCATGCTTCTTAAATCTGTCACTTTGTTTAGCATGGGGATTGCATGACTGTCCGACAGTGTAACTTTACTGCTTGGCCTGAGCATGGGGTTCCTGAAAACAGTACCCCACTAATTCACTTTGTGAAGTTGGTTCGAGCAAGTCGAGCACATGACACCACACCTATGATTGTTCACTGCAGGTAAGAAAGATACATTATTAGAACCTTATATGAGACACTAAAAGTAGTCTTTAAACTCAATGTGGTCTTTCATTATCATGATACCATTGATTATTTTTCTGGCAGAAGTTAATGTAGATTCATTCCAGCTTTTACTTTTCAGATATTTTACTGGCTATAATAAATAAAGATGTGGCTTTATAAAAGTTCACATGGCAGAAATAAAATATGTCTAGAAGACATATATACCAGCATAGAACTTTTCCTGAATTCTTGCCTGGATTTTACCTTTATAGGCCTTTTAAAAATTAAAAATGATAGCCCATCATTAATGTATGTGTGTTTGTGTGTATGTGTAAGATCTTATGAATAAACACCTTATCTTTTCAACAGATATTAGTATACTATTGTAATTTAAACATTTCTTGTAAAAGCAAATTTCTAGATGGATATTACAGAGGACAATTAAAAGAAATTGAAGATCAATTTAAGTGACCAACCCAAGTATAATTCCAAATTTCTACAAAGTTTTAGCTATTCAAATGTTTTCCTTTGACCTGAACCTCTGAACATGGTTAATGAATATTAGTATAAATTGAGATTTTTTCCCCTTCATTATTTATATTAGTATTTAATACTCTTAGAAATAAAACTTAAGGTTATTTAGTATTCAGAATGTTTCTGGACAGATTGGTACAATTTTTGTTTTCTAACATGATATATCTAAATCAATTTCAACTTGAGTGTCTTCAACAATTGGAGTTTGGAGATTAGAGAAAAAGTGGATGATATACTGTTTTATGATTCCACTTACATAAGATACCTAGAATAGCTAAATTAATATAGACAGAAAGAATGATAGTTACCAGGGACTTGGGGGGAGAGAGATATGAGGAGTTACTGTTTAATGGGTACAGAGCTTTTGTTTGGGGTGATGAAAAATTTCTGAAAGTGGACAGTGGTAATGATTGCACAACAGTGTCAGTGTGCTTAACGGCACTGAATTATGCACTGCAAAATGGTTAAAATGGTAAATTTTATGTTGTGTATCATTTACCACAATAAAACATTTTACTTAGCAATATATTTTGGATACATTAATTAATCATAATAATTAATAAGTTGGCTATTATAATAATTTTAAAGTTTGTTATTATAATAATCAATAAGTTTATTATTAATCATAATAATTCTAACATTTAGTTTATTAGTAATTTTTCAAATGGGTATATATTATAATTAGTGTAGTTAAATAAGAAAATATCAATTCATCCAGTTTTTTACTTTTTTTAGAGGAAAAAACTCAATCTGTAATTTAAATGATCAACTTTTTCCAGGAATATTCTGGATTTTAAATTATAAGAGAGCCCTCGTTGGTTTGGCACAGTGGATAGAGTGTTGGCCTCCAGACTGAAGGGTTCCGGGTTCGATTCCGGTCAAGGGCACATGCCCAGGTTGTGGGCTCAATCCCCAGTATGGGGCACGCAGGAGGCAGCCAATCAATGATTCTCTCTCATCATTGATGTTTCTCTCTCTCTCTCCCTCTGCCTTCCTCTCTGAAATCAATAAAAATATATTTTAAAAATAAAATACTTCTCTTTTAAAAAATTAAAAAAATAAAAACAAATTATAAGTGTAATACATAAATGTTTGCTCTTTTTTCCAATTTTAAAATATTATTTTAGCTTAAAACACAAATGAACATTCATTCATTAATGATAATGTCTGAAGATTGTAGTTCCAAGTCATCTTTTTTGTATGTAATTCTCTTAATATGTCCTATTTTTATAAATTTGTTTATTACATTAATGCTTTCTCTTGATAAAATATCTGAACAATGTTTATATTTAAAAAGCATATAGAACAAGATATGAAAGTCTCATTCTTACCTTACCAATTATATTCTCCCTTCATATACATAATATTTTTAACAAAGTAGTATATAGTATAAATGACATAACAGTTTACTTCTAAATGTAGTGATTTATTTTAAACTGGCATCATTAATGATTAAAATCTTTAATGGAAAGTTGCCTCACCTTCTCTGTATCTTCCATATACACAGCCACTGGCACTAAGTCCATTGGAAAAGGAAAGCACCTCCTCTCTTGAAGCCTCAAAAACAGTAGAGTCTTCTCTTTTATGATTTAAATAAATAAAAGAGATCACAGAAAAGTAGGATTATGTTAATAATCATTTTTAAATATGTTAAACCTACTAAGTTATTATCTCCAACTCTGACTTCTTACCTCAACTTTCAGTTCAATATGACATCGTGAATGACCACAAAATTCTGAAAATTAAATATGTCCAAAACTGAACACTTGATTCAATTTCCAATCTCACTCCTTCTCCTCCTTCCCAACTTTGAAAACAGTAAGTCCACTCTGCTTGGTCCAGAAACTCTGGACGCACCCTTGACTCCCCTCTTCCTCTCACATTCCACATACCAGCCTACAGCTGGCTCTGACCCGGCCCATCACCTCTCCACTCCGCTCTCCTAGCCATGATCTCCTTGCTCTTCTTTGAACACATAGACCATTCTGCCATTCAGATCTGTTCTTCCACTCCCTCCAGCTGCCATGCTCCTCTCCCATATACCCACATGGTGCCCTCCCTAACCTTATCCACGTTTCTTTTCAAATGTTACGTTATCAGAGAAGCTTTCTCTGATGACCCTATCCTACCCTATCACCCTCCATCTCTTTAACCTGATTTATGTATCATCATAACACCTATTATTGCCTGTACATACTATGCATGCCTGTTTGTGTAACACTATAATCTGTCCTCTAGAGTACAAGCTTTATATGTGAGGAACTTTGTATTTTTCACTGTTACACCCCAGATGCCTAGGACAGTGTCTGACACTCAAAATATATTGAATGATGCAATGATTGATTACCCTACTCAGGCAGGGTAAATAAATCACTATATTTAGAAGCAAACTGTTGTGTCATTTATACTATATACTACTTTGTTAAAAATATTATGTATATTTATATGTGTCAGATTTATGTTGTAATGCTCCTATTTCTTAGGTCAAATCACAGTAAATTGACTTTTTCTTACCTATAAAAATGGCAGTTTCATGTTGTTTAAAGTTACATTTATAAGACTAGGTAGCCTTTAAAATGTCTTTTTCATTTTTAATATTTACTGCAAATATTAACTATTTAAATACCCATTGTCTTTATAATGGGAGTTTCTGAATAAATCTTCGCAGGTATATCACATAATAGTTTCTATGGAGCACATACCTGTCTTGGGTATTAAATTAATTTTTAAAAGGAAATAGCTTCTCATTTTTATTATTCATAGGAAGTAAATAAAATTCTACAGGAAAAAAATTGTTTCAGTATCATACAGAGGAAATGCTATATGGCTGAATGTTTCTATTGGTAACCCAAAATATGTTTAATACAGAGTTTGGGGTGTTAAGAATTTTCAACAATTTTTCAAAATATTTTGCATACTTCTCCAACTACAACCTATAAAATACTATGAAAGGAGAAGGAGTGTTCCTTTAAAAAAAATAACTCAAATATTTGGTATTAATAATAATCATCTTGCCCTATCTAAACACTCTTGGTAACAATATCAATCCAAAGAAACTCCCAAAATATCTACCTTCAAATAAAAAAAAACTGTTTAGAATGTATTACTATCATAACTTATTTTTTTCATCACCATACGCATGAACCACTTTTTACTGAATAATTTTTATGTAATTTCACTCTTGCTGCAGTGCTGGAGTTGGAAGAACTGGAGTTTTTATTGCTCTGGACCACTTAACACAGCATATAAATGATCATGATTTTGTGGATATATATGGACTAGTAGCTGAACTGAGAAGTGAAAGAATGTGCATGGTACAGAACCTGGTAAGACCCAAAAGTGCGTGAGGTGTCAGCTCTAGAATTTCTACAAGGGAGGAACTTAGTGGCAGCAATGTGGTTGGACATGGACTTGGAACTGTCTTTGCATAGCAGACACTCTCTCTTCCTACATCATAAACATCCTTGGGGGAGGGCAGCAGATGGAGATTATAGGAGAACTGAAGCCCAATTGCCACAATCATCCTTCAACAATGTTAGTTGACTGCTCATCATAACTTGTTTATACTTACAGGCATGTAGAAAATAATTTGTAAAACTGACTTGTTTTAACATTTCTCAAATTTAGGGAGCTTAGAAAATGATCAAATCAATCGCTTTTGTAAACATGCTTAGTTATAATAGGGAAAACGTTTAAAATATTGACTTTTGAGGTTCTATGTATTACACTTGTCCATATTTATTCCTATTGCATATTAATACCAATAACATTTATTATAGTATATATTACCTGGGAATTTTTATTTGTCATTTTGATTTGGAAGTAAAAAATATTTCTACAATATACAGATTTTTCATCATTAAAAAACATCACATACTGCTCTGGTCAGAGTTTCTGAGTGGTTAGAATATCGGCCTGTGCCCCAGAAGGTCTCGGGTTCAATTCCCAGTCAAGGACACAGGTTTGGATCCCCTGTCCTGGAGGCAACCAATCGATGTGTCTCTCTCACATTAATATTTCTCTCTCTCTCTCTCTCTCCTTCCACTCTCTCTAAAAAAACTCAATAGAAAAAATACCCTTGTTGGATGAGAAAGAAACAAACAACAAGAAAAGAAAAAAATCACATACTATAATGATAATGAGACTAAAAACCCTCTATGGAGTGTCTGGTGGGAAACAAACAACAAAAAAAGAAAAAAATCACATACTATAATGGTAATGAGACTAAAAACCCTCTATGGAGTGTCTGGTGGGTTATGCTATACTAGATTCCTACATGTGTTAACTTATTTAATCCTTTATTTGTAGTCCAATAAAAATAATCAACAGACTAGGTATTATTGGCCCTGCTTTACAAATAGGGAAGCAGATGCTCCAAGTAGTTAAGTGATATTCCAAGTTTATACTATTCATAACTGTCAGAGCCAAATGCCAAACCAAGTCATAATATACAAGATGTTCCTATCTGTATCTTTGGATTGCAATTTGTATGCTATCCAAGGAGAGATTTTCTCACAGTAAATATAAAGATCTGTTCTAACAGTATTTTCCAAGGTACACCCTAGAAAACATGAGTGGCATCAGTTTTTAAAAGTGTAAGAAAACAGGTTCTTTACCAAAATAAGTTGGAGAAAGAAGTTAAACTGACTCTTAGAATTTCTTAGAGCCTCTATACTAATGCACATTGAAAATTGCAAATGCAGAACCTTTGTGGGCAACATTTTCTAAACTTATATGATTGTGAAATCCTTAAACCCTTTTTGACCTGAGGACTTATAATGCCATGTCATGAAACAATGTTCTTAGCAAGATGTTGCTCTAGACCAGAGACATCCAACCTTCTTGGACTCCACATCCCTTTCAGCAAAAAGTGCTTAAGCATTCAACTCCAATACATAGGCATTTGGTTTTAAAATGTACTTGTACAATTATGCAAATTATTAAACATATACAAAATATGAAATAAAAAACATAAGACAGATAAATAATATTTTGAAAGTCTTGCTAATTGTGAGGGTTTCATTTTATCATTAGGTATTTTTTAAATGTAAAATATATACTTAAGACAGGCTAATTTCACTTAATTTAAAAATGCATATTTTAAATTATTTCTGATTTTTTATTTTTTAAAATATATTTTTATTGATTTCAGAGGGGAAGGGAGAGGGAGAGAGAGATAGAACATCAAAGATGAGAGAATCATTGATTGGCTGCCTCCTGCATGCCCCCTACTAGGGATTGAGCCAGCAACTCAAGGCATGAGACATGCCCTGACTGGGAATTGAACCATGACCCTTCCATAGGCTGACAATGTATCCACTGAGCCAAACGGGTTAGGGCTATTTCTAATTTTTTAAAAGTAATCTAGCTCACCACAAGAGGATTACTCTAGGAGTACAAAAAATATCACCCCTGCCATTATTTTGTCATTCATCTGAGCTTGCATGCTAAATATCTACAGTCTCTTTGTAGGAATCTTTTTAAGCCACATCAATTCTCTGATGGTTATGTAAAACTAAGTAATGTAATCCATATCCATTCCTTGATATGCTGAAAGAGAACAAATGAATGATGTTACCCTTCTCTCAGGATACTTCAGAAATGGAAGATGACTTGTGATCAGGGTTGGCATCATAGATATGCAAACCTGCACCATCTCTCAGATCCCCAGTGCTCAAAAGGGCCTTGCACCTGTTTTAATGTTTGCTGTCCCTATCTTGAAATCTTTAATAACTTTTGAGGAAGAGAACACACCTTCTCATTTTGCATTGGGCCCTGCAAATTATGTATCTGATTCTTATCCAGGGGACTTATAAGAGTGCCAATATCAGTCCAACTATTAGCCATTATGAAACTTCAAATTTTTTCATATTTTTAGTTAACAATAAGGATAAATAGAAAGCTGATTTCCTTCCCAGGTGCTTGGGTGCACACCCGTTCACTGGTGATCAATTCTGTTGACATTGACCAAGATTGGTTGGCTCTCTTGAATAGAATAGAGGGTGGGACAGATGGGGATATTGTATTCTTCTAGAGGCCAGAGTCAATCTTCAAATAATAAAAGTTGAAAATTTTTTTGCCATACTCTACAAATTTGTAGAACTGAACTTTGTAAATAGTGTGTTCAAAAATGCCTGTTAATAAGTTCACACAGGTCAGTACTCCATGCATGCTATAATCTTCATACATTATGCTTGTTTAACCAGCTAGAGCAAAATGCAGCAGTTGGGTAGGGGAATGGAAGGAGCATGAGTCTTGGAGTTGGAGAACTGAGTTCAGAATCCAGCCCCGCTAATTGCTGGCTCTGGGACCTTGTGTAATTAACCCCTCTGAGATCATTTTCTTTTGTAAAATAGCCATGTTATTTTTTCACGATTTTGTTGTCAGTATTAAATAAGAGACAGTATCTAAAACATCAAGCATGCGGTCAATGCCCAGCATGCAGTCAATGTGACAAGGCTCTGCTGTGTCCCAAGCTGGTCACCCAATTTTATTCCCTGGGGGTTTTATTCCTTACTGTCTTTTCCTTGTGAGAAAGGAAGAAAGAAAGAAAGAGAGAGAGAGAGAGAGAGAGAGAGAGAGAGAGAGAGAGAGAGAAAAGAAAAGAAAAGAAAAGAAAAGAAAAGAAAAGAAAAGAAAAGAAAAGAAAAGAAAAGAAAAGAAAAGAAAAGAAAAGAAAAGAAAAGAAAAGAAAAGAAAAGAAAAGAAAAGAAAAGAAGGAGGGAGGGAAGGAGGGAGAGAGGGAGGGAGGGAGGGAGTGAAAGCAAGGAAGGGAGGAAGGGAGGAAGGGAGGAAGGGAAAAAGAAAGAAAATGACCACACCTTGGCTCCAGGCCTTACAAACCAGCATTGCCTTGCACAAGAGTGGTTTTTTACTTTCTTCTATTGCACTTGGGAGTAATTCCAGTTCCTATGAAGAATCCTCATGTCAGCACATATTACAGTAGCTGTGAGCAGGAGTGGGGAGTGGGAACCTGGGCAAAATATTGAACAAAAAGATACCAAAAGGGCATGGCCCAGACCCAGGAGAGAGCTTTATCTTTCATTGTCTAAAACAGTTCCCAGCAGCCCCAAGAGATTCGAAAGGACTTTCTGAAAGAATATTCTGCCGTGATATAATATCCTGAGACGCTATTGGTGGTTCAAATAGGGGTTAATCTGGATGAACCTCTTTTCTGCTCTGGTTCTCCTGGAGATTTACTGATGTGAAGAACATGAAAGAAAAAAAACTAATATATTTTGGGTTCCTAGTTTTTTGGCAGACACTTTACATATGTTAAGTCCTTTAAATCTTTCCACGTATACTTTATGATCCCTCTGATGAGTAAACAACATCAAAAAGTTTAATTCTTAAGGTAACATAACTATCTATGCAAGAAACTGAAATTTCACTCTTTTTTTTTTAATCTTTAATTTCTTTATTGGTTAAGGTATTACAAATGTGTGCTCATCCCCCCCCATTGGTTGATCTCTCCCCCTTATCCCCACCCTCCCCTACTTTCCCTCTGGGGATTGACAGTCTGATTGCTGCTTCTCTGTCTCTGGTTCACTCTTGGCTGTCCCTTTGGCAATAACACACATGCACATGACAGAGGGATCTTGGAAAATGTAGTACTGCCCCACGGAGTTCAGCCTGCCCTGCTGGCTGAGTTTCCACCCAGCATGCTTTCCAGTGGAGAAGATCAGATGGCAACAGTCAGAAGCTTCACATTTCAAATTCAAATGTGATTAAAAATATATATATAGTAGACTAATTGATTGTTGTTTTCAAAGGAAATACAATGTCAATTTATTTTTACCAATAATGTTATTCATTGTGTAATATATGTTTGAAAATACTCTTTTGAAATTACCTTGAGAAGTAATTTACTAATGATTTCAGTAGACTTTTCATTATAAAATAATATAACAACACTTCATTCCTTAACAAAATTGAATTATTAAACTTGATGATCTGTTGCACTTACAAAACTTTATTCCTAATGACTTCTGGATATTTTCCAAATGAAATCTGTCCTTATATGGTAAAGATTGGTTAGCTGTGAGAATTAAATGCGACTAACTCTACAAACATTTATTATACAACTAGACATGCCAGGCACTATTACAGGCAATGGGAATTGAGCAGTGAATAGGAGAGTTCTGTTCTCATAGCACTAACATTCCGGTGATGAGGTGTTTGGGGAAACATTCTGTAATCCACAAAAAAAATAGATATTCCTGATAATGACCAACAATTTCTGAAGACAGTTTCAATAAGGGGTTTCAAACAGGTTTTGTAGTATAGTAGTAATAGATATAAATATAACCTCTTCAGATGGTCACATAGAGGACATTCTATTTAAAGCAGTTGTCTATTTGTATATTTATGTATCTTAAGCACATGGTTATATTCCTTTAATGTCAGATATATTTCCTAAGTAAAAGTGAAGGTGATTTTCTATGACTGTAACTTTAACTACCTTTGGGGAAGTCCAAACGCAAAAATGCTAACAGAATATTGAATTATACTGAATAAACTTAAAGAACTCGCATGGTAATAAATTTAGCCCAAACATTCAGATGAACTGTTAGGAGTTCTTGTCTAGCACCAGATTGTTTGGATATTTCAATGGTCAACTGCCTTTTATTTAAAAATAGAGACCAGATACTTGACAATAAATAGGCCAAATGTTAGGTGATTAAAAGAATTGTTAAACATATCTTAAATGAGCTGATGGTGTATGGATATGCTCACTCACAGAATTTGAAAGTAAATTTAGCATCTGCATTCCAACAAGAAAACTATTTATAAGAAAAATTACTCAATTAGACCTAACAGGAAGAAGGAAACTTCTAAACAAATTTAAATAATCTAATCTGTCACTTTTTATAATCATGGCAAGAAAGAACATATTAACATTTGGTGTTCAAAGACAAGTATTTTTTTAAATATATTTTATTGATTTTTCGCAGAGAGGAAGGGAGAGGGATAGAGAGTTAGAAACATCGATGAGGGAGAAACATCGATCAGCTGCCTCCTGAACACTCCCTACTGGGGATGTGCCTGCAACCAAGGTACATGCCCTTGATCGGAATCGAACCTGAGACCCTTCAGTCCGCAGGCCGACGCTCTGTCCACTAAGCCAAACCGGTTAGGGCGACAAGTATTTTTTTAAAGAAACTTGAAGCCATAAGAAGCCACAGGAATTTGGAAAACCTTATGTTTGAGATGATAGAAAATCATTTACATACAAGGTAAATTCTGTATGTAGCCTCGAATTTAGCTATTTAGCATTTGTTGAATTCAATATTACTTTTCAATGTAACAATACATATCATATTATAAAAAATATCTTCACCACATCCATTTATTTAAGCACTTTTTCTTTTATGTCTAGGCACAGTATATCTTCTTACACCAGTGTATTCTGGATCTCCTATCAAGTAAAGGAAATAACCAGCCCATCTGTTTTGTTAACTATTCAGCACTTCAGAAGATGGACTCTTTGGATGCAATGGAAGGTAAACAGAGGCAATGAGTACCCCAATTTACTAATTTACCACATATAGTAGGAGAATTAACTTAATAACAACCATTATTGAAAATGTTTTTTAAACCATTATTAAAAACATTATTGAAAATGTTTTAGAAGTTTGGCTGTGCACTTATCTTTTTTTTTTTTTATTTCTAAGCCCAGTTAGGATAATAGCTTTTTCATCTGCACTAAATTTTTGCCATGAAACATTTAAATATTTTGAATTGTTAACTTCAGTTCTCTCTTGTGACATATTACTTTATGTTATAGGTGATGTTGAGCTTGAATGGGAAGAAACCACCATGTAAATATTCAGACCAAAGATTACAACCAGAAGATATTTTCAAATCCCAGGGGCCAAAATTACCCCTCATTCTTCTGAATTGAAATGTGCATACTTAAAGAAATGTTTATGCTTCCCTTACTGTGCCTTGCTAAATACATTGACATTTTATGAATAGTTCTAATAAGTAGCTGATTCAGGATAGTTATTTCTTTTGTACAGAATAAATATTATTCATTTAAAATGTTTAAGAAAAGATATCCCAGAGGTTTTTGAAGTCTTTCATATTTTGGGAATAAGCCAAAAATAAAATTATTATTATAATAGCATTAATGTTTCCATGTGAATTTTCCCTCCATATTGGACTTACGCTTGAACAAAAGTTGTAAATGTTGATTCAGTCGTGTTATTTTGGCCTCCAGGGTGTTGACGTTTCTTGTGGATAACTTCCAGGACTGTCATTATGATCTGTACTTCCACGCATGCCCCTGTGTTTTGAATCCTCTGTTTTATGAGTGCTGAGATATCATCTCATGATCTCGAACAGCTGAACAGTAACCCCTGACACTGCAGGGATTACTTAGCTTTTATACAACACACAGTAGCTCTTCGGGGACACTGAGGGCTATTTAAACTGCATTGTGATCTTTAGTTTGAAACAAGAAAAATTAAACAGTGCAATTGCTCATATGAAGCTGTAGAGGACTTTTCTAGCTTATCTACATTTGTACATGTTCAGGCACAAGCTGCACCACTATATTGTATATTTCAATATACGGTTAAATGTCTCAGAGTATTTGTCCATTAGCTATTTAGTCAACCCAATATTATCAATTTTGAAGGTTTTCTTCAGCAGAAATCTATAAAAACAATAATAAAAACATGTAATGTGTTGCAAGCTTGTAAACTAATGATGTGCTCCTGTGGTGCCAATAGAGACTTCTGAATAGATCACAAGAAATGGTCTTTATTTTATTCCCAAGTTTGGGTTTGATTATTAAGGAGTATATTTGGTGGAACTGAAAACAAAAAATCAACCAGGTAACAGCAAATTAGAGATTTTTTTAAAAAGAAAATATTTCAGCCTCCTTTTTGTTAGATAGTAACAATGTATTAAGTTTTGAATTATATGGTATTTTGTCATAGATTTCAATTGAGTCATAAAACAAAATAATGTTAATTATTCTATTTCTTTCATGATAAGAATTATATCTTGTGCATATTTCTGCTGGAATATAAATATAGGAAATATGATGGCCAATAAAATTGAATTTTAAGGAATTGAGATATTTTGCAGCATGATTTCAGAGATCCTTATAAATAGAAATTTGATTTTCTATCACATTTATGATATAATTGATAATTATCATAATGTAATTAAATATATTATATGTAAGTACAATATAATTTAGTATAAATAATTAAGATAAAATCATTTCCTCTGATACCCATAGATAGTAATTTTAAAATTGAATTTATTATCCAAGAAATTAAATCCATAATCTTGCAAGAAGTCCTGCCTCCTGTTTTGTCAGGGCAAGGAAGTATAAATAAATGTAGTTCATGATTGTTCAAACCAACAAGTTTATTTTATAGGAAGTTACATAAAATAATAAGATATGGTGAGAACTCTAAAAGATTCAGTTGGAATTCAAAGTTCTTCAGTGTGCTTCATGGTCATTGAAAATGTGTGGCATGCCGGTACTTATGAATGTGGTTTTTTGTATTTGTAGAAGACAGATAACAGCCTGTGAAAAATATTGATGTGGGTACTTTTTAATGTATTAAATAAGAAAATAAACAGTTCAATCTGCAAGTCAGTCAATTTTCTGTAATATATGTATAAAAGAGATGTGTACAACATAGAGTATCAGGTTTGACCCATATGCATATGTGTGCATAAAACACATTTAATGTAAGGCCTCCTCTAAACAGTGCTTATCAAAATTTAATGTGTATACAAATCACCTGAAGATTGTGTTAAAATGCAGATTCTGCTTTAGTAGATCTAGGATGGGACCTGAGAACCTTCATTTCTAGCAAGTACTAAAGTTATGTTGTTGCCTGATCTTAGACCCTTGAATAGTAACTCTCTAAAAGACATTAGGATCAGAATAATTTCATGTCCACCTGAAATTATTTAAAACATGTTTTAAAAAGACACTTGGCTTTATTATCAGAAAAAAAAATTGTAACAGAGCATCTGTTAAGTGTGAATAGGTCGCTAACTATATCACAAATCTGTAACTGAATTGATACATATTAACCATAGCTAAATTTTTCTCTTAATTATGTTGTTAAAGGGCTAGATTATAGCCAAGTTACATAGGTGACTACTAAATTCAAATTAAAATAATGAGGAACATCTGTAACATTTTTAGATCAGATTTGTCAAAATACATTGCAGCACATGTACAGTAAATGAGCAACATGTGTTTCATCTGAACCAAATGAAACTGGAGCCTCTCAGAATGGTTTGCCAGAGACGCGAGCATCTGTGGATATCACCTCCACGTTCATCCTGCTTTAAAACGCAGCGTTTTCTTCTTTCGGATGATAGGTGAAATGTATAAGAAATCTTGGGGAAAAAAAGCTAATTAAGTATTTCTCTTGTCATAAAGGAGATGGTGATTCACTTTCCAAATCTGGTACCAAACACTGATTTTTAAAATGGGATTTAAGTTCAGCAGAATGTTCTACAAGTCCATGACATTATTGTGATAAATCCATTTTCATGGGGCACATTTAGAAAACTCATAATGAAGTATTTGATGAAGCCTGGAATACAAAATGGTCTGAAATTATCAACCAAATGATATTAAAAGCAAAATTATGGAAACAATGTTTAGAAGCATAATCTTGACAAACCAACTTGCCTTCATAGGATAAGTAATATTCGCCGGACATGACTTCATAAATGTGCATAGCATTTCCATTCAGAACCGGACTCCTATGCCCACCAACTCATGAAGACGCACTAAGAAATAGATTAGATCTCACATATAAAAGTATTTCAAAAAAGTATTTTTGAATTCTACAAAGTTAATATAATCTTTACCCAGGCTGGTCAGTGTATAATATATATCAGTAAGATAATGTATCTGATTTTAGGATTGTATTGTACTTTGTGATATTTAGTGCTATATTTGTATGTCTGTTTCACCTATAGGGATTGAAGAGAAATTTATGGAAATTATATTGAATTCTGATAAGTAAGACCATTGATTTTTTTTATGAATGATTAAGAGCATTCTCAAGGAAATGTTGGACTCAACACTGTACCCAAATAACATCAAATGTGAATTGGAAATTAAGTCAAGATATTGTTCATTTCAGGCATTTTGACAGGATATTCTGAACTAGTGTCTGCAAATAAAACTGTAACTTAATAGAAGGTAACAAAAGGCAATATTTTGATTGTAATTCTAGAGTCAAACTTATATTACTTTGGTTTTCACTCAAAGTATTATTGGATTGGGAAGTAATTATAGTAAACTATAAACTTTTTAGAATACTTTTACATTTTGATTAATGCTTACAAAATTCTTTAAGATCTTCAGGGTCCCATATTACAGATAAATATAGTAAAAGCTTACTGGTAATTGCTCTGCCCAAGACCACATGCATATCACAATCAAGTTACTGAAAGTCAATGATAAAGATAAAAATTTTAATAGCAACAAAGACAATAGAGACCTGCTCAGGGATACAAAGCTAAAGAAAATATTCTGGCTTCTATTCAGAAACAATGCAAGCCAAAAGAAAATGGAGTGACCTATTCAAAGTGCTGAAAGTACCTTCTAAACCTGATTAAGGGCAACTACAAAAAAGCTAGAATTAATATCATACTTAATGGATATTAAAGGTCTTCACCCTAAGGTCAATAAAGAGGCAAAAATGCCCATATTTACATCTTCTACTCAACATTGCACTGGTGTTTCTAGCCAGTAGAATAAGGCAATAAATAAATAAATAAAATGAGTAAGGTTTATAAAAAAGAAACAAAACTGTCTACATGAGTAGAGCATATAGTCATGTATGAAGAAATTACTGAGAAATGTATCAAAGAAAAAGTTGCAGGTATAATAAATAACTTTAAAAGGTCACCAGATATAAGACCAAGAAACAAAAATTAGTTTTACTTCTACATAATATCAATAAACATCTGGAGATTATAATTAAAAATACCATTAACAATAGCATCCATAAACATGAAATGCTTAAGAATTAATAAAATATGTGTGATATACTAACATTTATATTGATAAGAAAATTAAAGAAGATGCAAATAAATGAATGACCATAAACTCAAATACTTAATATTGTTAATATGTTGATTCTCTTAATATTAATGTACAGATTCAACACAATATAAATCTTAATCCCATAAGGCGTTTTTTTCCTAGAAATCAATGAACTGGTTTTACAATTTCTATAGAAATGATAAAAATATCTAGAATATCCAAAATGATTTTTAAATACAGCAGAAGTGAATAATTTACAGTATATATTTCTCATTAAAAGAAAAAAATAGAAAGTCAAAACATAAATTCACACATAGCTGGCCAATTGGATTTCAACAAACATGGCAAGATAATTCAATAAGGCTAATTTTAAAAAGCAGGTGGATACTGAAAAATCATTTCAAATATACAATATGCCATTTACATAATGTTCATTTTTATGGATTCATTCATTACAGTATATGTAAAATTATGAATGGGAATGTAAGTGTTGATGTCAGAATCACGGTTTCATGTGACATGGGAAACATACAGGTAGAGAGAGAGAGAGATTGCTATGGAATTAGGGATCCACAGGGTTTCAAACGCATTTGTAAATTTTAGTTTAATATTTGAAGCATTTGTGGCAGCACAGATTGTTAAAATTAAGTAATGAGCAAAAATATTTATGATATTCTTTAAAGGTTCCTTCGTGTTTGAAGTATTTAATATTTTTAAAGCATGAGCACATTTTAAAAGTTAGCAATTTATTAAAATGACATAAAATTGTTTATGGATTATTTTCACAAATCAACCAAAGTATCCTGCTCTCCTGCTTGAATGAGTGCAACGTGGAGAGAAATCGTTACACACTTTTGTTACTTAGTTATTCCATTCTCAAAGCACTAACAATTGGTGTTTTAAATATTAAAAATAAAACTTGATATGTTCCAAGTGCTTTCCACAGAATTTCTTATTCAGTTAGTATTTACAATCAGGTGAATTGCTATGGAAGATACTTGCTGGACTCTGGCACTGGGACACAGCTTCATCAATCTGAGCACCACATTCATAAAGTTGATGCATGCTAACAGGATAAACACCTACTCTGTGTGGCTGTTAACATCAGAAATTTTTACAAATTTATATTTTAAAAACTATACTTAAAATTGTAGTATGAATTATCTGCATAAAATAGAATATTATTGTTTTATTTACTATAATCAATATAGCTTTCTTCTTTGAATTATTATGCACCAGACACTCTTCTAAAGATATTACAAAAATTAATTAATACTGACAATTCTTGGAAGTGGATGCTACCATCTGCCTTTTACATATGAGAAAACAAAGCAAAAAAAAATTAAATAAGCTGCTCAAGGTTAGTCATTAAGTAAGTGAAAAATCCTAGACTTTAAACCAGAAGTTTGATTTCAAAGTCTGCAGTGTTAGCCACCACCATACCCCACTGTATTACCTAGAGAACACCAGGTTTAAAATAATATCTTTAATATTACCTACTGGGATGAAGAGCATACACTTGAACTCTAAAACAAAAGATTTCTGATATCATCAAAAACAGACCACTTTATGTACTAAAATTATGTGTCATATACTTTGTAATAATGCTAGCCCTTGAATTCAAGTATCAAGTTCAATATTCTTTCTATTATTTGTTCTTTCCTCCAATATATATTTGGTCCAAACAAAATTGTATTGTTTATTTGTTTTCCAACTCTCTGCAACTTGTTGCCAGGTTTATCTCCCCAGCTCTGAAATGCTCATTTCACGGATCTGTTTAGTAGCTCTCATTGCCTATTGAATTAAAGTCATAGAAGATTCATTTCCCATGCATCACTCTTTTTTCCAGACCTAAGCCAAACTAGAATACTTGCTGCCTACTAAAATGCACCCTACGCCTTCCCAATACCATGCTTTGGCCCTGACAATTTCCTCAATCGCTCATATCCACTGGAATCCCCCACTCACTAGATTGTCAGTTGCGGTGAACAAGGACTATGTTCTCCTCGTGGTTTTAACCACATGGCACTTGAATAACATCTTACACATGAGATAAATTCAAGCAACTATGTTCAATTGAAATTTCTCCGTGGCAGAAATAGAACAGTTACCGCGTGACTATGTATTTCACATGCTAAGTATCTGTCAATCAGGGAGCAAACGAACAGTACTGGGTCCTGGTTAAATGGAGGTGGGAGAGCAGGGAAAAGTGGGTGCAGCCATGAGTCGCTTGTTCAGGTTATCAGTTACCCAGCATAAAATCAAGATCTTAATAGTATACAAAGAACCTGCAACAACTGAAGTTGGCAAAAAGGAATTCTGTACAACTGGGTAACTTACTAAATAGTAGTCTATCAAATTTATTTTTCTTACACTGTAGATAACGTCAACAAACTGAGTTTCCCAGTTGGAGGAGTTTGGAAATAGCAAAGTTAATGGTTTATATAGTTATATTGTGCATATGTACACATGCTTGCATGCACACATGTACATCCTTTTAATTAAAAGCACATAGGTCTTTAAAACAAAAAAACCCAGGACCATTTATTGAAATCTAGCATATATCAATAGCCACTGGAGAGAACAAAAATAAATATTCCAACCAGTCATTTTTGATAAAACACATTTTTTCCTCTTTAAATTATATTATATTCCCTCTTAAGGAGGCCGGAATGAGTTTAACACTTTTTTAAAAAAAGATTTTGTTAAAACTAATTAGACTAATGAGACAGGATGAGGAGGTTTTAGAAAACCTTGGAACAAGGCAGGTCTGGAGTTAATGGTCAACATGCACATGCGCAGAGGCAGACACTAGGTCTAGAGAGGACAGTAACAAGCAACAGGTGGCAAACCAGGCCAGCAGGACACATGAGGGTGGACTAGTAAGAGGTAGCATATCATAACAGACAGGTGGAGCAAGGCTAAAGAGAATCCAGGAACTGGCCCTGTGCAGATCCAAAAAATTCAAAGGCAGGGAAGTGGGTCAGTAGGAAACAGGGTCCTACTTGCCAGCAAGATCCTGAGGCAGCTCACTTCCTCCCAGCCAGACCCCTCATTTCCTGAAGGTAAATAAATAAATGGATGGGTAGATAGATGATGATGATGATGATAGATAGATAGATAGATAGATAGATAGATAGATAGATAAGCATATACCTATCTCTATCTCCCCTTCATAGTGCTTAAGAGTACTAAATAACTGGTAACTGAGTGAATGAATGAACAAGTGCTTTAAATAAGTAGACTAGTAGAGAAATTTTAGAGGCAACAAATATCAAAATCAGGTAGCCAAAGTGTATTACCACTATTCTAACCAAAGCAATGATAATGAAAGCAAAAACCAGGAAAAGCCAAAATTGCCATTATTTGATACAAAAAAATATTTCATACCTAGAAGATACAAATAAGTAGACTGAAAAGCTTATAAGTAAAAAATTGGAACTTTATAAGTAACGAGTTCTTTAATAGGGGTGACCCCTAAATAAATACATAAAAACCAAAAACAATTAATGAATGAAAGATATAATGAGGAAAATTACTTTCTTGAAAATGTCCAAATGTTATAAAATACCAGGAGGTTAAACTTATAAGGCATTTCTGGAAAAAAATCTATAAAGCAGGGAAACCTAAAACATGATCAATTTTTTTGATATAGAAACCTGTTATAAAGAACATGTTTCTTCTCAAATTACTTCATAGGTTTACTATGACAATTAAAAAATATTAATAGTATTAGATTATATCAAACTAGAGGCCCAGTGCACAAAATGGGTGCATGGGGTGGGGTCCCTCAGCCCGGCCTCCACCCTCTTACCATCTGGGACCCCTTGGGGGATGTCCATCTGCCAGTTTAGGCCCGATCTCTGTGGCAGATGGACATTCCTCTCACAATCCGGGACCGCTGGCTCCTAACCGCTCACCTTCCTTCCTGCCTGATCACCCCTAGCCACTCTGCCTGCCTGCCTCATCACCCCTAACCACTTGCCTGCCTGCCTGATCACCCCTTACTGCTCGCCTGCCTGCCTGATTGCCCCTAACCACCTCTGCCTTGGCCCCTGCCACAGTGGCTTCGTCCAGAAGGACGTCCAGAATGACGTCAAGAAGGTTGTTTGGCTTTCTGGCCCAATTAGCATATTATGCTCTTATTATTATAGACTAGAGGCCTGTTGCAGGAAGATTCCTGCAAGAATAGGGCTTCCTGTGGCTGGAGTGAAGAGAGAAGGGAGCGAACGCCCCCCCCA